TTATAATTTTTCTTCTCCCAGGTTGGGCTCCCCTTCTTAGTCTGTGTTCTCCTGCTGGGTCAGTTTGTGAGGAGGAGATTGTTTGCCAGGTTTTTTTTACACAAAGGAAGTGATCTTTGAACCTATGGGGCCCCCTCCCCTTTCCCAAGCCTTACACCTTTCCATCTGGAAGCTCAGCTCTTAGTCCTCTTTTGGACCTTTGCCCTCCCTAGCTAGCTCCAGAATGATCTCTGGCTGGTTGTTTCTTGCTCATCAGGCTGCAGGCTTCCGCCTCATTCTTGCCAGCATGGAGCATGTGGTGCCAGTAAATAGAGGACACAGCCCCACACCTGAGAGGAAGAGAAGGATATCAGTGACTGGGAAAGGCTAGGCCTGCAAATCTAGGATGCTGACTAGAGATGGTATTGGTGAAATGTCCCAGAAAGCCCCCCAGGGACTTACCTTAGCTGCTGCCACCGCCCTCAGCCACCCCTCACCCCATCACCAGTTGCCAACCATTCCAGAATCGCTCCTGCTAAAGGAAGCCTTTTATCTACAGGGTGATGTAGTTTATTAAGAGTACCACAAATGGTAAGCTAGACCAACAAGACTGTTTCATTTTCGGACTCAGGAAGTTACAGAAGGTTTCATTAGGGGAAATCTGTTTTGTGTAAATACAACATGTATATGTGTACACAATACTCAGAACACCCTTCCCCAGCAAGAGGGTTGCTTGTTCTCTCCTGTAGTTAATATTTTGGACAGCAAATTGAAGAAAGAAGATGAAGGAGTAGAAGAGGGATGGGAAGGGCTATTTCGGGACAAGCAAGAACAACGACAACCTGCTAACACACTTTTATAGGTCTCTTAATGAAGACTGAAGACTATTATGGTGTAGTGGAAAGTGCCAGGGACCGGAAGTCAGTGGGCATGCTTTCTTGTCTCAGCTTTGTTGCTGTGTGACCCCGAATATGTTATTTTGTCTCACTGGTCCTCGGTTTACTTATTTGTTAAGTATAGTAATTAGGATGGCCACTTAGAGAATTCCTAGTTACTTCCAAATTATCAGCCTTAGTTTGGAAACGGGATTTATTACTTAAGAAATACTAGTCCCCTCTCCTTTTGGAGACTGTTGTTTTTTTTTTTTTTCCTCTTTAGAGAACAAGCATAGATTACAAATAAAAAATTCAAATTCACCCATTCCCACTCCTTCAGAAAGCGTCCATCTTTCTGTCTCTGGGCAATGAGGGTTTTGCATTTTGTTATTCTTATCTCATCCCTCCCCTTTTCTTTCTTTAGGGCTCTTGATAATGTTTCACCCAGTGGCAACAATAGTAGACGACGTGATTTCAAAACTGGGCTCAGCCTCTGTTTCTGCTCTTGTGTAGTCGCAAAGCCCATTTTGGACCAGGAACTCCAATCATGTCTGTGATGGTGGTAAGAAAGAAGGTGACACGGAAATGGGAGAAACTCCCAGGCAGGAATACCTTCTGCTGTGATGGCCGAGTCATGATGGCCCGGCAAAAGGGCATCTTCTACTTGACCCTCTTCCTCATCCTGGGAACCTGTACACTCTTCTTTGCCTTCGAGTGAGTTTTCATTGAATACAGTTGTCTGATGGTGGTTAATTTGGGTCCAAGGAATGAAATTGTCTTTCCTGGGCATTTGTGGTGGTTCTTGCATGGTTTTACTCTTTTGTTGAACAATGTGTATAGGCTGTAGAGTAGAATATATAATCCTTTAAAAGATCAAGAACTTTAACATCAACTTCATAGCACTGGTGAGGGTAACCACAGGTCAAACAAGGGAGTTTGCCTTCTTTACCTGCTTTCATTGACAAAGTAACTTAGTGACAAATTACTTCTTCTCTGCTCCTCCCAAGTCTGGGAATAACCCTCACTGTTACAACATCACTCAACAATAGCTATTTAAGCTGCTATTCTGGGCCCTATTTCTGTAAACTCTAGTTCTTCCCTAGCTGTTAAATTGAAAAACAAACTGAATTGGGAACCTGAAGATTGTCCCAGCATCAGCTCCACCACAAAGGAGCTGTGGGAATGTTTTTGAAGTGCGAGTTGTTCTTTCTTCCCCTCCAAACTCATTCGGTATAAAAAAAAAGTATAAACATTCTGTGTAGGCCTGATGGTAGCCTTGGATGTGACACCTAGTACTAGAGACGCTGTTTGAAGTCTGTGTAGGTCACTGCTCCAGGGAGGTGGCTAGTTGGAGTCTAGTGCACTGTGGCATGACTACTGGGTATGCTGAGAATGATTCTACACTCTAGGGATAGGAGCAGTGCTAATTGTTTTGGGATTACTGTATTAAGGAGGACCTTGAGGAAGCAAGACGTGTGCATGTGTCTACTGAGGCCACACCTGATGTGAGCCTGCCATGGCTTGTGTTCATGGGTGACCTGGAAATAAGAGTTCCCATGCTGGGGTGTGGCTGGGAGATGCCAAGGGGGCTCCTTGGCCGAACTCAGAGGGTAATTAAAATGAGCTGCAGTCCATTGAGACTTACT